ATATGTAAAGAATATAGAGGGTCATTTTATCATATAAGACATTAAAAATCATTAAAGGTAAAAGTCTCTAACAACACAAATCATGGAGCTATTTTTTAAATCATTGTATGATAAACAATTACTTATCATCAAAAAAATGAGAATATAAACTATTTTATTTTTATTTAACAAACACTTGTAGGACATTTACTATGTGGTAGATGCTTTGCAAATATTAGTCATTTAACAAAGTTAAAGAATTAACATCCAGCAGGATATGGTGGTGCATGCTTGTAATTTCAATGACTTGGGAGGCTCAGGCAGGAGGATTACAAGTTTGAGGCCAGCCACAGCAATTTAGCAAGATCTTTCCTTGAATAAAAATGGTGAGAGAGGAGGGGAGGGGAGGGGAGAGGTGGGGAGGGGGGAGGGTGGAGGATGGGAAAGGCAGCGGAGCACAACAGACACTAGTATGGCAATATGTAAATCAATGGATGTGTAACTGATGTGATTCTGCATTCTGTGTATGGGGTGAAGGTAGGAGTTCATAACCCACTTGAATCAAAGTGTGGAATATGATATGTCAAGAAATTTGTAATGTTTTGAACAACCCACAATAAAAAATTAAAAAAAAAAAATGGTGAGGGGTTGGGGGAGTGGGGGCGTAACTCAGTGGTAGAGTGCCCCTTGATTCAATGCCCGGTACCATACACAAAAAGAACGAACTATCCTTATTTTACAAATAACAGGAACGGGATTATGAACTTGCCTAACAGTGCATAGTTTGTAAGGGGAAAAGCCAGAATTCACTTCAGATTCTTTGGCTCCAAGTTCATGCTTTAGCCACCACATTTCTTTAAAAATCATTACCAAATTATATACAACAATCACAATGTAATCATATATATTCCCAGGAAATTGTTTCATATGTGTATATATATTTTTTATTTGGACCAAAAATAATCCAGTATTCTGGGTTATTTTATCAATTCATTGATTGAAAAGTCACTAGGTGTCTCCTGTGCCACAGAGAAAGAAAAAAATAAACCAGTGACTTTCCCCTTAAAGAGTTCACAGATTAGTGACAAGAGACAATGACAAAATGATGTAATAATTTATATATGACAAAATAATATAAATTCATTCAAGTAAAACCATTTCTTATGACCCCATTTTCAATGAGTTAATGATTTAAAAGAAAGAAAAGTATCTAAACAATTGTGTGACATCTTAAATATTACAGTAGGCCTAGTATGGTGGTGCATGTCTATAAACCTAGTGACTTGGGAGGCTGAAGCAGGAGGATTACAAGTTGAAGGCCAGCCTCAACAACTTAGCAAGGCCCTAAAGCAACTTAGTGAGATCATGTCTTAAAGTAAAAATAAATAAATAAATAAAAAGGACTGGCGATGTAGCTCATTGGTAAAGCACTCCTGGGTTCAATCTCCATTTCTAGTAGAAGCACATAATTAGTGCTAAGACGCACAGAAAAAGGCATAATATTTCAGGAATTGGCTGAGGGGTCACTGAAAATTTTAAAGAAGGAGAATGACATATGGAGTTTTATATTTTTTTGAAAAATCATTCTAATGAGCAATGGAGAGAGGAAACCTAAAGAGACCTAAGGCTAGAGGACACCATCTTGTTAGTAAAGGACTTAAAGGAAGAATGAGGATCTGAATTAAGGCAATATCAGCAAAGGGGGAATGGAGTTTTATAGTGGTATTAGAAGACATTATGGACAAGGACCCCGAATATGACTGTCCCTATTCCCATAAACATATAGGCCTCCCTCAGGAAATAAGAGCACATGAGAATAAGGAGAAATTAGAATCAATGGCTATGTAAATACCAAACAAAAGAAGGGCAGGAAAAGTATTTGGAGTATATGAAAGGTCTTGGTGTGTTTCCAAGGAGTTTGGATATTAATTTCGAGAAATTAGAGTCTGGAAAAATGTGCTCCAGTTCTTGCAACCTGTGAATGTTACCTTAACCTGGTAAAGGGGAATTTGCAGACATGGTTAAAGTTATGAACCTTGAAAAGGGGAGACTCAACCTACTCAAATGGGTTTTCAAAAGGCTATAACCAGGGGGACATAACCATGGAAGAAAAGGAAAAATCTTAGAAGGATGAGAAGCTCTGAACCCATCACTGCCAACTACAAGACAGGAAGAAGGCCCCAATCCAAGAAATGTGGGCAGCCTCTGGAAGCCGACAGCCAGCAAGGAAAAAAGAGACCTCAGTCCTACAGTAGCAAGGGACTGAATTTTGCCAATGACCTGAATAAGCAAAAAATAAAATTAAAACAAAACAAAAAACAAAAAAATAGATTATTTGATTGAAACTTCACAAAAGAAAACAGGCCAGTGGATACCTTGATTTTGGCCCTTTAAGACCCAGTTGGATGTCTGGCCTACAGAACTCTTAAGATAATAAATTGGTATTGTTTTGAACTGTTAACGTTGTGGTAATTTGTTATAGCAGCAATAGTAAAATAACATAAGATCTACGTTCAACTTTTTCCTAAAAAAATCAAACATATTGATTTAAGAACAATGTAATATGCTAATATAAATTTAACTTCATAAAGTCAGCAATCTTAAAATATGTTAGGGGCATAAATCAATGTCTTCTTTACATTTTTATTATTAAATTCCTTAGAATCTAAAAGTCACTAAAAGGCTAAAAGAGGATATAAGATGCTATTGTATTTTTTAAACTTTTTTTTGTATTTAAAGGTAAAGAAATAATCAATTTTATTTTATTTGTTTCAAGTTCTCACAGTAAATGAATGAAATATATTCTGGCTTTTAGTTCTTAAGCCCACAGCCAAGTCTAAAAACTCATAGCATGTCTGCAGGAATACATAAATCCTACGTTTAAAACAACTAATGTGTTGCATTTACAGAAGTAAATCATTCACTCAAAGTCAAAAAAAAAGCCTTGGTTATTCTGTCCCTGAATTGATATTCATAAGCTCCTAGAAAGTTAAGAGCCTTGTAAATCTTCTGTCTAGTTCATATTTTTATCAATATTGCCAAGCAATACTTCTGGCCCCCAACAGGTTTTTGTTAAATAAGTGAAAAATAAATAAGTGGAAAATATTTTTAAGCAAATATTTTAAAAAATGGAATCAAAACTTTCCTGAAACCTCAGCTTACTAGTTCACTACAAAACTAAAGATGTATACTATACCTAGAGGTTAAACCCAGAACTTACTTTAAATATTTTCAATAGAAGTCTTGACTGTTATACATATTTCCCTATCTTAAACAATTTCATTTAACAGAGCACAAATGTCTTCATAGGTAGGTTATCATTATTATCAATACATAACTTGATGCTCATGTGACCTATACAAAGCTTCATGAACTAGAACTGCTCTCTGAAAATGTAATCTATGCCAGTCTTCTCTCCCCTCCAACAAAAATTTAGTTAAGTACAGTACTTCTGGGAGTTATTCCGGAAGTGCCTCATAGCTGTCTACTTTGCAACTGTTAAGTGAAAGACTTTAGTCATCTTGAAAGAGAATTTCTTACTCTCTAGAACATAAGTATCCGTATAAATGTTATGGAAATTGCATAATTTTAAATTTTTCAAAGCATTCTCATTTCAACATATAATCAATATAAAATTAAAGAGTATTTTACATTCTTTATTTTCTTCCTCCATACCTTGTCTTAAAAAAAAACCTGTGCATATTTAACACTTAGAACAGACCTCAATTAAGACTAACTCCCTGTGGCTAATGGCTACCATACTGAACAGCTGCAGTCTAGAAAACCTCTGCTATACCTAAGTGAACTACAAACCCTATCAACTTGTACTCTCCACTCCATCTCATTTGTACTCTAGGTTTACAATTTTGATTCATTAATTGAAATAGTTATCATCCTCTATCCAGGCCAACTCTCTGCCCCTCCCCACTAAATGTCCTTAACATACAAAAGGCAACATTCCAGGTATAATGATGTCAAATTATGTTATCTTTAATGTAAAAATGAATTTAGACAGTATTGGTGTTCATGCGTACATTTTATCTTTTCATGTTTCACAATGGAGTAACATCTGTTCCACAGAATAATTCCTGAAATAAAATACTAGTCAAAAAATAAAAAAGCAAAAATGAAAAAGCACTTCTGTAACACTACTTTCAGAGGATAAGTTCTCAGCGTTTAAATAGACTCCTGGTAAGACTGAGCGCGCTCTCCTAAGGGGTTTGTGACAAGAACTAAAAGGTTCTTAAAACCTACTATGTGCAGGAAATCTTTACTTCTTAAACTACTCTATTTCGTTCAAACTTTGGCGCTTCCCAAAGCGGGCTGCACAGAACTGCCCGATGGGCGCTCTTCCTTCGGACCCCTCTCTGAAATTCTGACTCGATGCCCTGGGGTGGGCGTGCTCCTAAGAGCTTCACGTGCTCCTAAGAGCTGAAGGGAAGAACTGAGAGGGGGCCTGGCCCAAGTGACCACTACCCTGAATTTACCGGCCCCTCGGGCGCATCTCTGCACGGCGGTCGACCTGCCTTCTGGAGCCTGCAGACGTCAACGCCACCGAGCCCGCGGTAAAGGTTTGTCTGGACGCACCGCCCTACTGTCCTAGTCCGGACACAGCCACCTAGCCCGAGGGTTCCCGCCTCAGGAGGTCGTCCCGCAGCAGGCCGCTCAGGGCGAACAAGGAGACCCCGAGTTGTGGAGGCACCTCACCGCCACCCGGCGGCGCTTCTCTGGCCGCCCGCTGTGGCGTCCGCCCGCAGCTAAAGCCCTGCCCCCGAGAGCCCCAGCTTCCCGGCGGCCCCTGGACACTGTAACCTCTTCACGCCCGGCCCCCGACCCGGGGCTGACCGGTTCGTGACTCTTCTGCCAATCAGAGACGTTTTCTCCAACCAATCACCGTGCGCGAGGTGTCCTCTTCGGCCCTTCGGTCCTTCGGCTCTTCGGCCCTTCGGCTTCTGCGAGTTCTCCGTCTCGGGGCCCTCTCGGGCCTTCTGCACTGCTCTAAAGCGTAGTGCTCACGGGTGGTATTATTTCCTTTTTTTTTTCCCCAGCCACTTCCGGGTCCTGCGTCGCTCCGGAAGCCCGCGAGTTCCGGAAGCCCGGGTAACCCACATTCCGCTAGGAAAAAGCCAAGCTTTCCAGAGTATGTTTCAGAAAAAGTTACGTGGAGCGTGGGCGTTTCGCAGACTCCTAAGGTCAGTGTCTGCCCGAGAGCGCCAGAGTGCAAACCTGAGGTCCTGCTTACAGCCGGGAGGTCTTGGAGTTTCACGGCCTTGTAATTCTCGCCCTTTGCTTCAGTTTCCCTGTTTATTGGCTTCCTGTCTTCCTGGAAGAGGCAAATCAAAGTGTCTTGATTTCGGGAAACGCTGTAAAGCAATTACAAACGCCTACAGACGTTCTTAGGTTCGCGCCATTAAGGGCGGGGGAACACGCAGCTAGAATTGAACCCCTCTGCATTCCACGAATTGCCTTTTTTAGAGAAGGACTTAGATGTGTTTTCCTCTTGAAAAGATTTACTTCTTATCAAAGTCTTTCTAAGAATCATCCAGGATCCAAGCTTTCAGTAAAATCCGAGGATTCTTTTAAAGGGTTACGTGTGGTACAAAAAAAATTGAGTAACTTAAGTGAAAACCCATTTGCTTAGAAGTTTTGGTTTTCTTATGGGAGGAGATACTGAGAATTTTCTTATAAAATTGCGGAGTTATTTCTTGTTGATTCCTTATCAGGAATGTGAAAATCATGAGCATTTTCCTTTGAGTCTTTAAAAGTCATTGTTTGCGTATTTAGTTAGGGACCATTTTCTGTACACGCAACATTTTAGTAAAAGGCTTTTCACAGAATGAGACCTGGTAGTTGAAAGTTCAGGTCTAACGTGTTTTTTGTATTCTGTGGTGTCCCTTGCAAATTTTTATGTAGACACTTTTTAGCCATTACAAGGAGACTGAGGCTCCGTCCACCACAATTTCTAACTAACCACCTACTTGTATGTTAAACTACTCTGATCTTGCCAATAATATCAGTTACTTGTATCCAGATAGATAAGAGTTCAGTGATCTTGAGGCCTTTGAAAGAAGGGAGATAGTGAAATTACTGAACATAAAGAAGAACCTCTATTTTATTTATTTATTCTTTAAAAAGAAAATAAAAGTGTTGGAACATAGAATACTAAACAAAGTCAGGCGATTTGGGTTCTAGTCCCTATTCTGGTTTGCCTTTGTCGAACTTTACCGCTTCAACTTTTATTCTCTTCATTTTTAGAAGTTAGAAATAGCTCTGTGGGCTTAACATTGTTTCATAAAAAAATTCTGTAGAAAGTTCTGGAGCCATGCAGAACAGAGACAAAGCAAGCCAAGTGTCAGCTGTATATTAACAAGAGCAGCTATTTATGTGTTCTGTTTTTATAACAAGGTTCCTGCTTAAAATAATTTATTCGTATCTTTTTAAATTTTTTTTTGTTTTGTTTTTAGTTGTAGATGGACACAATATCTTGATTTATTTATTTCTATGTGGTGCTGAGGATCAAACCCAGTGCCTCAAAGGTGCTGCAGGCGCTCTACCACTGAGCTTCAGCCCCAGTGCTTAATTTATATATTAGACTAAATGATCTGCCTTTCCTTCTAGCGTTGAAATTCTTTTTTCTTAGGACAGTTGTTCATTTGTATTCGACATACATTCATTTGATTATTAAAGTTTTCTAAATTCTGTATTGGTGCTCATAATAATCCTTGCAATAAGGAGCACAAGTATTTTCCATTTTACATATTCAGTATGAACCTTACAATATGTTAGTGGACTTACCCATTGTGACATGTTTAGTAAAGTTGTAGCCCCATCTTTTCCTCACAGCATCATATAATTTTAAAGTTTCTGCTCCTCTTGCCCATAAAACCTTGTGTTTAGATTCCTGTAGCACAAGGAAAGTGTGTACTATGTACATAGTCTGTTTCCAGACAAAAGTTCTACTCTCAGTTGCTTCCTTTTTTCTTCTCTTGATGATCTAGGTTGGACAACCAAGAAATAAATTGCATGTTCTCTTGATCTTTTTCATGTGAAGTGATAGTAGTTTCTAAGCATTCTGTGTCTCTCTTCCACTCATCAAAATGTAGAAGCCTTAGGAGAAAAGCCCTGAATTGGTCTATTTGCCCCATGTCCATTAACCTGGCACTGCCCTTTTAAAGCCTGGCCCCATGGCTTCTATATGTAATAATGGAGGCAGGGAAGGGTAGTATGTGTTTATTTTCTTACCATATTCCCATCTATACAATCAAAATATCCTTTTCTATAATGTTTTTTACTCTATTTAATCTATTTTCTTTACATAAGAACTCTGCCTTCTTACCTGCTTGTCAGTTAAGATAAAATTCCGTTAGGTAAGGTGAGATAAAATGTTGTCATTTCTTTTTCCTTACTATTAAAATATAAAACCCAAGAGCTGTGAAGTCATTCTGTCTCAGTCATGATCTCTCCCTTCCAATGTTCAATGGATGAGTTGGTATCGCCTCTACATTGCATATATAGTATGTGTTCATAATAGGTAAATGATGAAGTGCCTATTTATTTCAGATCTGTTCAGATTTTTGACCACACTTAATAAAAAAAAAAAGAAGAAGAAGAGGTAATGTAGATTAGATACATCCCAGGCAGCATGGCAACTTTACTGCATTTCTTTTCTTTTTCCATCTGACTACACAAAGGAAATAAAATAGTAGAGTATAGGTTCAAAACTTAAGATCTCCAGTAATACTATTTTATTCACATACCCCAGGATGACTCCAAAGAGGGGAGAATTTTTTGCTTTGCATTCTGTGGAATTAAATTTGATCCATGCTTACCAGATATCCATCCTACTCATTTCTTTCTATGTTCCAGTTTTTCTAGTATTTGCCAGAAAGTCAGTAATTGCCAGCTTAGATAATTAATCTTCTCAAGCTTTAATTTTTATATTCTTAAAATAGAGATGATAATACTGTGTTGTATGGATCCAATGAGATAAAGAATTTTAAAAAGATTTTTTTTAAATAATGTGTATTACGTTATGGTTCCTCTTTTGGGGTTTGTTTTTGCTTTTAGTGTTGGGGATTGAACCCAGGAATACTTGACCACTGAGCACATCCCCAACCTGTTTTTATTATTTTTTTTTATTTTTAGATAGGCTCTTGCTAGTAGCTTAGAGTCTTACTCAGTTGATGAGGCTGGCCTCAAACTTGGGATCCTTCTGCCTCAGCCTCTCAAGCCACTGGGATGACAAGTATGTGCTACCATGCCTCTTATTCCACTGCTGATTTGTTTGTTTGAAGAAATTTCCACATTCTTCAGTACCATAAAAGGTGCCATTGAATGTGTATTCCAATAATTTTCAAGACATGGAATTCTATTAAACACTTGGATTGTAAAGACCCTTCTTTTTTTATTTTTTATTTGTTTTAATTAGTTACACATGACAGTACAATGATCTTGACATATCATACATTTGAATCAAATGGGGTATAATTTCTCATTTTTCTGAGTGTACAGGTTGCAGAATCACATTGGTCATACAGTCACATATATACATAGAGCAATAAGACCCTTCTTAAATGTATAGGACATTCTAAATATCCAGTTACTCCATGCATATCATGTAGCTTGTTTGTTCATCCTTGGATTAGAATTTTTGCTGTAGTTTATGTCTCTACTTTTAACACTTAGCCTCTTAAAATAACTACATCTTGCATGTCTATCCTAAAGTGTTTATGTTTGCCTTTTAGGCCAAAAAACACCTATCAGTATACAACACTGGTTCACAGCACGGCTGTGCCACTTCCAGCTGAGTTATTTTACACTACTCATATAATCTCTTTGTTCCCCAGGGTTTTTACTTTAGAGTAAAAATAATAAAAGAACGTCTTTCTTAATATTACAAGGATTAAGTGATTTAATATTTAATTTTGTACATGGCAATTAGCTGTAGTAGTCACTTGTTAGCACTCAATAACCGGTAAATAAGTAGTATATGTTCATTATAGTTGTAAACTAACAAGTTCATTGGGATTGTCTTCCTAATGTTTCCCTCTTTCTGTGAAGGTTCTTTCTCACCTGTCCTGCTCTGATTTCTCTATTTTAGCATTTTCCAAACTCAGTATTCAGCATTATCATTTTTGCAGTTGGAAATGGCTGTTCTTTAAATTTCCTTCCCTTTTCAAGATTTTCTAAAACAGTTCCTGTAAGGATTCTAGGTAGGTAGTAGACATTTTACATTGGCTTCCCCCGTCTACCTCAATGGATGAAGATGATAGTATGGCAAAATGACTTTGTCCAGCCACACAGCCTAAGTGACCTAGGCTAGAACACAAAACTAACCAAAGCCTGGTTAATCCTCTTCCCCTTTTTCGTAAAAACAACTGTTTGTTCCTGCAATATGCTTTCTCTTCCAAAGACTCAGAAATAACAATTTTCCGAAAGAGAAGAGTATAAAAACCTTGGTGTTCTCTTGAAAACATATTTGTGAAACAAGAACAAGATATTATAAATTGTGTTTTAAGGTTTAAAAAGATTATTTTGTGTAATTTTTAAATATTTGATCAAGTACACTATAGCTAAAATAAGGCACTGTTTATTGTATAAGGCAGATTATAATCTTGAACATTGTATTTGTTCTGAGTTTTCTCTAAATGAAAAAATATAATTATTTTCCCTTTTGAGGCAAGCTGCAGTCACTCTAAATTATTTTGAGATAAGTATGTTATTTGAAGCTTATCTTTCATATATACATGAAAAGTTTTTTAGAAAAATTTGTTATATACCCCCTCCACCCGCAAAAGAGAGAAAGAGCTCTTACATTAATTTTGATGAGGATTTCATTGAAGTTAGGAGAAATTTAATCTGAACATTTCTCATGTCTTGGCTATATCCAGATGAGTATCATTAGGATTTATAACTTCAGATATTTATAAACTATTGAAACTTAGTTTATATAGAGTGAAAGGGAAGAAAAACAGAGTAGTTACAAGTCACTTAGCAAGTCTGTGGCAGAAGTGGGATTTGAACTTAAGAGTTGTTGATTTCTAGGCCTGTTCAGTATGCCAGAGGTCACAGTGTACTAATGGGTCTCAGCCATAGCTTTTTCTGTTCTACTCATGTTTGAAATGTGTTCTGGGAATCGGTGTCCTGTTAAATCCCTCTTTGATGCATGTCCCCTTTATTAGTATTGATTTCA